GGGGGGGGGGGGGGGGGGGGGGGGGGGGGGGGGGGGGGGGGGGGGGGGGGGGGGGGGGGGGGGGGGGGGGGGGGGGGGGGGGGGGGGGGGGGGGGGGCGATACGCGGCGCATGGTCCGCTTCAGGTTAGCTTGGTGTTTCAAGAGGGTGGGTGACGCTTAACCGCAGCGGCAAGCATGCCGGGAGAACGGGAGCACTGGATAACGCGGTCGAGTGAGGGACTGCAGGGAATGGGGGGTTGAGATGAACGACGGGGAGACAAAGCGTCGGAAGGCTAATAGGATCAAAAGCTACCCGTGAATGGTATCCTTGCAGGCGGCGACGGCGATCGACAGCTGTAGGCAGCTGACAAAGCGCGGGACAACACATAGCGAATCTCCTTGCAACAAGTGCTGCAACTGGCATGCACGCAAGGCGCCAGAACAGCAGCAGCATCGTTTTCCTCAGGTGCCCCTCTTGTTTAACCGAGTGAAAGAAGAAACGCTTTCCCGAGCATCCGTACCGGTAGATAATCGTGACGTTAAATGAATGAAAATAGTAGATAGCGTGCCTCACCGCACTATCCCCTTCTAGAAACGCGCCCCGTATGCCTCACCTCCATGGTGACGGCACCTTTTCGTGCGCCGCCGCCGCCTGCCGCGAGACCACCGCTAGCAGAGTTGAACTCCCCCTCCTTGAGCAGCTGCGAGGAGCGCCTGTCCTCGGCCGCTCGCTGCGCCGCCGCCGCTTGATCCCCAAGGGCCCCCACGAAGCCCATCAGTCGCGCATGCCGCTCGTCCTCATCTTCATCATCATCCGAGTCATCCTCCTGTGGCTCTTCGTCCGAAACGTCGTCGTCCATCGCGTCCCCCTCGGAGCTCTCGGCGCTGCTGACCTCGGCCGTGCGACTGCTCTCCTCCACGCCTCCGCCGCCCTTGGCTTTGCCCTTACCCTTGCCGGTACCGGCAACAACACCGTTCTTCTGGGCTAGCTCTTCCGCTTCGTTGGCAGCTAGCATGTCCATAACTGACACACACACCCCCTCTCCGCCGTCATCGTCACTCTCGTGCTCTGATTCGTCTTCCTCGTCGTCGCTACTACCTTCTGCGCGTGTTACTGATAGGGCCAAGAGATGATTTAACGGGGATTTCATACAGTAACACGGATGCAGCAACAGCCACGAAGAAAAAGTCCCAAGATATTAATTTCTGCGCTGCAATATACAGCGGGGAAACATGGAAGGGAGAGCGATCAATCAGGTCTTCAGGCATGAATTACTGCAGATCATCGCACCACGTGCGGAGTAGAACCTTGAATACTTGAGGGTGGACTTCGCGAAAACATTCCGTGCGTGCAAACGGTAAACCCTCGTTCGTTGTCAATACTCATTCCGTTCCCCCAAAACGTTGTGCTTTACCCAACTCCACGACGGCGCGCGGCAGCCTTCGCCTTCATTCTGATCGTGGGGAGCAGGCGACACGATGCTCTGCCCGTCATCCGCATCCCCCAAAACCGTCGAGCACAGCACGTGATTTACACATACCCAACGTTCAACAGTCAAGACAGAGGACGCCCCTTACCCTGCTTGCCGCTCCGTCGCTGCAGGATGGTGTCCATGACCTCTCCATACCTTCGAAAAGACGAACCGTACAAAGTTGTTGAGTGCGCAAGACAAGGATACGAGTATTCGTGTTGGGCGGGAAGAGTCGGAAGCCTAAACTATGTTAACAAGCTGTTGGCACCCAGTGCACGCCCGACAAGTAGGGCGGAGAAAAACAGCAGGCGGGCTACAGCGTCCCCACATGCTCTTAGCCCTGTAAATAATCAACTCAGAGGTTTGCCCGGCTGCTGTTCGTTTCATCTTCGTGAGTGAACCGCTTGGTTTGCATGCGTCTCCCGTCATGTTCATGCAAAGCAACAACAGCAGTTAAACCGATCAGCCAATTGGACAGGGTGGTGCCTAGAGTACATCAAGGTCAGAGAGCATCCAAGTCGGCTTATCGGGAGCCACATTAACGCCAGCCACCTACTGCAATGCCCTATGCCGGCGTGTTTTGCGCCCTGTCTTGGCTGGCGTTAACTTGTTGAGGATGCTTTGGTCGTTGTTTGTTTACCAGGGATGTTCACGGTGCGGTTTGTCTCGACGGTGCGGTGCGGTGCGAAGATGAAGAAACCGCACCGCATCGCACCGTAAGGATTCACAAATAACCGTAGTTGCGGTTTTATTACGGTGCGGTTTGCCCCACCCCGTAGCCAAAACCGCAGTAAACCGCGATAAAAACCGCAGTAAACCGCGATAAAAACCGCAGTAAACCGCGGTAAAAACCGCAGGTAAGGCACGATATCGTCGTGCAGACGCGCACACACAAGGAACATTGAAAAATTGTCTTCGTTTTTTTGGACCAGCACACACGCAACACCGTGTTCCCACACCACACACCCTGCCACACACAAACACCGCCGCTAAGATACGCTCCGTGCACAACTCCGCCCATCTCCGATGGAGTCACCCCCGGAAGATGGCGACAAGCCTCTTGCAGAGGTGGTCGCTGCGCGCCCATCTCCTTCCCCCGGTGGTTCTACCTCTGCTCTGCTGGTGCTGCTGATGCCGCGCAAACTGGGGGCACCCTGAAGACAGTTCGCAGCGTGCAAGAGCCGCCTGCCTGGTGGTGCTGCCAGATTTTTTCTCCGTTTTTACTATCATGTTCGCATATTCGCATATTCGCATACATATTCCAACAACAGTAGAAGTAGTAGAAGCAAGCGAGGAATAAAGCTCGTGTTGTAGGAACGTATGATGACTGGGAAAATGAAGTACATGATCAGTAGCTTCTCCTTTGTCTGGGGTCTTCGGGCTTTCTGACCGCAAGCCGCGGGATCTGTCGGCCCGGCCTCATTTCAATGGACTAAGCCTAACGTATTCCACGAAAAAAAACGATCATGGAGACCCCGTCATTTTGTCACGGACATCCACAGTATTCTCCGCGGTGTTCTTCCACGGTGCACCGTCGCCTAGGCCGAGGTTCGCGCGGTTTTGTCACGGGGTAGAAAAAACCGCACCGTCAAAAAAAACGTGTGACGGTGAACCGCACCGCACCGCACCGCACCGTCGAATTTCGAGATGAAAAACCGCACCGCAACCGCACCGTCGAATTTCGAGATGGTAAAAACCGCACCGCACCGCACGTCGAATTTGGAGATGGTAAAAACCGTACCGCACCGCACCGCACCGCACCGTGACCATGCCAAGACACAAAAAACCGCACAGCGGTTCCACACCGTGAACATCCCTGTTGTTTACTTACCGTGCCTCGTCGGCGCTGTCGAAGGCAGCATCCTCGTCGACCTCTTCATCCTCAAAGTCGGAGTCCTCCGGACCGGGCCCATCATCGCTGTCTCCCGCTTCGTCGTCGTACTTGTGCCTGTCGCTTGCCCCTCCCCCGTCCTTCAGGGTTTGATTTTCGTCGCGGCGAATGCATTGCCGCGGCATCGGCAAAGTGATCCCCAGAGATGTGTGCGTGAAGGGCGAAGGCCTCAGCGTAGTTGTGATGCGATCAGACTATATGTTACACTGCATAGCTCCTGCTGCACGGAGCACAAGCCTTACCCACGAGCCACCTGATGGAACAATCCCATCAAAGGATTACCATACTGCATGTGCTGCCCATCAAAGGATTACCATATGTACTGCTGTGAGTACCCGGAAGAAGCATGTGCATCTCGATATCATACTACAAGCAGACTCCATTACAGAAGTAGGTATCAGTGGTCAGCTGTGCGAAGCAAAACCAAGGGCGATGCTAAAGGGACGCACCCTCTATACGTCCCACTCACATCAAACTCATATCCAGCACTTCCCCTGTCCCCTTCACTCTTCCCACGCCGAACACCACCCTTGGCCCCTCCTCCTCGACCTGTGAATGAGCTGGGCAGGGCCGTGCCTCTTCCAGACGATCGCCCGCCTCGGCCTCTTGGCCTCCTGCCGCCACCCCCGCCTCGACCTAGACCTCGACCTCGGCCCCCTCCGCCACTCCCACCGCCCCAGCTACGTCCTGGAGGCATCGCACAGGCGTTCTCTAAGGTCAAATGATCTTTCTGTGAGTACGCATATCGTGCGTGGCTAGGCGGGGCTACACTACATTGCTGCTGCTGCTGTTGCTGCTGCTGCTGCCAACCGCTTATCTCACGGGACTGTAAGGTTCTTGCATCACACGGAGCCCCCGAACACCCCGGCCGTACGTATTTGTGGTGTACCTGTTTTCGAGCCCCTCGGAGAACTAGAGAGCTGCAGTGTTACTGGTGTTCATTCGACCAATACCTACCGCAGTGTTGTGCACACGCCCCTGCTACCGCATATCGAAGCATGCTTCACCCCCGAAATGTCTTACTCGCAGCAATGGCGCTGTGGTTGGGCGCAATTGGTGCGTTAGCCTTCGTCGTGGTGGCTCCACACTCCTCTCTGTCAGCCTTCTCGAAACATGCGTCTCGCCAACCTCATGAGCACCACCTCCTGGGCTACCGCAACGCTGGCGCTAGGAAGGCGCGAGGGGTCCAAGGCCTGTCAGCTTCGATACCGAGTGTGAGCTTTTAGTTTCGTTGCTCTTATGCTTGATACCCGATGCACCGGAAGGGAAACTGCCGTCCCCGCTTCCTTTTGAGTCAAGTTGCAGCTGTACTGACCCCCGCTGGCTCTCTCTCTCCCTCTCGCTCTCTCTCTCTCTCCTCTCTCTTTCTCTCTCGCCCTCTAAGAAATGCACTCATCACCTCTCTCTGCCCGGCTGCCCGAACACAGGGCTACGTGTTTGCTGCAATAGAGCGAACGTATGCGTGGGTATTGTTATGGCTGTTTCCGTACGTACACCGTTGCACTTTGGTTGCCACTTCCTCCTGCTGTAATCCCCTACACCAGTGTAAACCTCCGGTGCTTTCTGCTGTTTTTCTTTTCCACCATCACAGGACCTGAAAGGAAGGGAAAGACTGGAAAAGTTCTTGGGCGATTGTGCGCTACTCGGCCCTACGCGCTTTGTTTCCGTAACTGACGGCGCTATCCTGGAGGCTGTAGGGTCGTTTGATAATCTCCGGTACACCGATCTTCCCAAGGGCAGGTGGGTTCACAAACGTGCGCGTCCCAGGTTCAGCCCAGTTGTTTGTGTGATAGGTTTGCGCTCTGAAACTTCACGTTGAACGAGCGTCCGGGACTGTCATTTTTTCCGGTCCAAACCCCGCGGTAGATACGCCTGTCGCCTGCATTGATCTTGTGTGCCGTGACGGCGACCGTTCGATGTAGGTACGCTACCGTTTCCGAAGGCAAGGGGTTCGAGTGCCACCTCAACTGCGACAAAGTCAAGGTGAGTATTGCATACAGTCTACGTAAACAGGACGTACAGAGCTTTTTTTACGGGCTTCACGAGACCAGAGGTGAAGATTCACACCACTACAGTTTGTTTGCATCACAGCGACCCTTTGAGATCAGCAACGGCAACGAAAGCAGCTGTAAAAGGTAGCTGGCTGTGGAGCGATGCCAGAAAAAAGGAATGTTGGGCTGTTTCTTGTCGAGCCGAATTCTTGGACCAAAAGAACATCAATATCCAGGATCGACGAAATTCCGGCTTCTTGTAGAGCCGGATTTGTTTCTTTTTCTGGTCAACACAATACAGGATCAGGAACCAGTGTTGCGTTCACCCAGAAATTTGGGCAAGTACCAGGACGTTGCCCACCTGGATTTCTGTCCCAACAATGTCACCGCTGATTGATCCAGGCGACATAATCGGCGAATGCGAACTGACTTCTTGACGTATCGCTCCCATCAAGGAATCCGGGCAACCCTACGCTGAAGTGTTTCTATTCTGAACGCTGGTTGTTGATGGTCGCTCGGAACGCATGCGTAAAAAGTCATTTCGTATCACACCAAACATGGAGAGACTCCAAATGCCACGAGACACCAACAAGGGGCGCGGTTTTGCAGACACGGGAGGACACAGCAATCGATTTCTCCCTCCCAGGCTACCGATCGAAGCCAGGTTGACCAGGATGTGCTCTATGTTCCATGCTCTCTGCTGGTGTATTTTTACTCAGCAGCTCGTGCTCTCAATCGACGGAGAGAAGCATGCGCATGGTGTCCTTTGCTTTTTCGGACTGTGATTTTTTCTCTTCTGCTTCACTCGAAAATATAATGACTTGCCTGAAAACAATTTTCAACAGACAACTGGTGCACACGCAGACGACGATTTCGAATGATTGGATGACGAGCTGCTGAGCAAGCAAATCTACTCCGAACGTGAACAAGGAACAGAGAGCGCATCCTGGCCGGTCTGGCTTCGATCGGTGGCCTAGGGAGCGAGCAATCAGTTGTGGTCTCCTCCCGGCTCTGACAAAACGTGGCCCTTTTTGCTGTCTTGTGGCGTTTTGGCCCGTTATTCGTCTCCATGTTTAGAATGATGCGGATGACTTGGCTGTACATGTTGTTGTGTTGTTGTTGTTTCTCACATTAGCTGTATTGTCCACAAAAATGGGGAGCCCATAGTCTCAAAACCCGGCACATACGACGCCGCGGGGAAACAAAACGAAAATAGGGTACTAACCACTCGGAAGAAGAAAACAAAATGACAGAAAGAAAAGAATAGTTACCACACCGACCGTTCGAGAAAAGAGCCCTCGGAAACCGATCAAAATAAAACAAAGCCAAAAATAAAGGAGGACGCTTCCCACACCCGCCTAAAGAAAAAATCAAAGGGTAACGTACCGGCACCAGGCACTACGCACCAGGGCATGGGAGTATCGGAGCAAACAGGACAAAGAGGCGGCAGATGGGCAGACAGCCAGACGGACAAAAACAAAAGCAACAGCAAAAGCGAGATCAAGGTACCCAACACAGCAGAGTAGGCAGGGAGGTCATGAAAAAAGCAACACAGCACAGAGGCCGAGGGCAATACAATGGACATACATAAAGGAGTGTAGCATACAGCAGGGAGGGAAACAGGGCGCACCAACATCAGCCGGGTACANAGATCAAGGTACCCAACACAGCAGAGTAGGCAGGGAGGTCATGAAAAAAGCAACACAGCACAGAGGCCGAGGGCAATACAATGGACATACATAAAGGAGTGTAGCATACAGCAGGGAGGGAAACAGGGCGCACCAACATCAGCCGGGTACATTACACACCGGTCGCCCCGGTGGTCTAGTGGGTAGCCTCGCAGCCTGCTAAGGGCCAGGTCATAGGTTCGAGTCCCGACAGAGTGAGTTTTTTCCCGCTTATGAAACCCTGGTCTCCGTTCGAAGCGACGCTTCAAAGCTCGTTGTTAGTAAACTCGATCGACTTCATAAGTCGCGAGGGAAGGGATTTCTGTACCCTTCTCGCGATAAAATATCTCAGGCAGGAACCGCAGGAGGGGGTCCAACCCCCCCCTCCTATGTGACCCCGGTTGGGTCGTCTAGCTGGTAAAAGTGGAGGATAGGGGCCAGAGGGGCAGACGACAGAGTCCAATAATGGGAGACAAAAAAAAAACACATATATATATATATATAGTTCGCCGCAAGTGCTGCAACGGCCGCCCTACTCGCTTCTACAGCAGTGCCCGGTCGCCGTTTCTTCCCCCCTATCGCCGCTTCCCCGACTCTCTTTCTCTTCGGTCCTGAGATGGCCGTACTCTCTGCTTCTGCTTCCCTCGCGCGCTGGCGCTTCGCGGACGCTTC